ACAACAAAGTGTGGATGTATGACCCTATTTTCCATGAAACTAGCTACCGTGAATGTTAGATGGCAAGATGAGTTTGTGTGACACAACTTAGCTCATAAATAGGTGCAAGCTGAGATTATTATGCCATTACCAATTATCACAACCCTGCCTTTGAGCATTGCGTCATTTTTGCCTAGTCTTTTGTCAATTCGTTGGAAGATTTCATTACAAGTGCATCCTTAAAGTCTGCACCACACTCTATTTCTATTATTGTTGCTAGTCCTCTGCCTATATCCTTATAGGAGCTCGATCCAATTATGAAGGATATTCACATTGTGAAGTACACAGGATAGCTATATCATTTGCCAGTGCCTCTATTTATTGCTATAGGATTAGACCCTTTTAGGAGATCTCCCCTAGATGGATGCATTCTTAAACTATTGTCACCAAGATTTACGTACCTCTATACACAATACCTGTTAGCAAGTTGAACAAAGGAAGATTTCGATGATAAGTTCCATAACCCATATAAGAATCTAGAGAAGGACACGGAGGAGGAACTAAAAAAGAAAGAAGACAAGGATGAGGATAAAGACTCATATGGTAGTGAGCAACCTACTTAGGAAAATGACATGTGCTTAATAAGTGTCTTTGACTAGTGATGTTTGGAGTTACAACTTTGTAGTTTCTTTTGTTTTGTAATTTTTGTACAAATGTAATGTGAGATGGATACTATTTGCTTGTAATTGCAATATTACTTGAATAATTCGTTCATAGGTAGGTTACCTTTGGTATTTAATTTTAGAATGACCACTTTACTTCATTTGGACATGATTTTTGGTAATATTTAAATTGGATGACATTGAACTTGATTAATGTGATGATCATCATTCATGGTTAAGCCTAATGGTGATTTACAAGGTGATATGATATGAAACATGATTTTTTAGCTAGTATTTGTGAATGATGTATTACCCTTGATTTGTAAGAGGTCTAATAATGATATTATATTTATGTTTATTAATGATGATTAAATATATTTGTACTACATGTTAATATAGTAGGATGAGAATCGAGGACATCACACTCAAACCCATCACAACTTGATATGAAGTTATTCTTTTAACAACTTTTTTTACTTGTTTTCTAAATTAGATTGAGTTTGTAATCAATCAAAATCATGCATGTTAAGTCAGGTCATTAAGTCAGATCAAGTCTTGTACATCCTTTGTAAGGTAAAAACTAAATATTACTCTATTCAAAATCTCCATTTTGAAAGAAATGAACAGAAAAAGAAATGAAAGAGAGGGAAGCAACCACGTGGGAGAAGAGTTTTTTTTTTTAAAAAAAATAATATTAAAAATTATAAAAATTAAAAATTTTAAATTATTTTAAATATTTAATAAATACTTTTAATACAATTAAATTATGTTTTTTTACTTTCTTTTTTATTTATTCAAATAAACAAAAGGATTTTTTTTTCTTCTCTTCTTTCAGCTCATTAAAACATCAAATACTTTTTTATTCTACTTTTACTTTATTTTTTAGCCTCTCAATTTATCATATTAGACAATTTCAAATATAAAGAATCTTATTATTGATGCACCTTTAGTAGTTAACACAGGTCATGTGTTGGTTTTCTGCATGCTACGCATATCAACTTGACATCATTGTTTTGTGTCATATTCCTAAGCATGACGCACATTAGTAAATTAACCCTACATATTGCTACATGTTCTTAATCTTTGTGATAGAAAACAAGATAATTTCTTCACATGTTTTCTTTTGTCACTTTCTTCATATTTTTTAATTATTTATTTTCTATTTTTTAATACTTAAATGAATTTAATCAACATTAAATATAAAAAAATATTTACAACCTACCACTAAAATAAGAGAACTGCTATGAAAAATTTTACACGAAAAATGTAAAAAATAAAAATAAAAATTGACCAATCAAATTGTCTTTTGACGAAAATACATGGGTAGTTAAAGTACAACTTTTGTACTTCAAATTTTCGTTAACATTAAGCATTTCTCATAAAATAATCTTTTGTCAGATAAACTAATTTTATAATTTTTTAAACTGAAAGTCTCAAATGCACCCATAAAATATTTCTTCAGAAGTTAAGTCAATCATTTCTAAATTCTTTATTTGTATTTTATATTTTATCAATATTGAAAAACACATTATTCAAGATAAAAAGACAAATACATTTTTTTGTTATAGAAAATATATTATGAAAAAAATATCAAATTCATTTAGTATTTACCTTTTTTTAGTTGTTTAAAATATAATAAAATATGTTTGAGTTTACACACCATTTGTCAATAAACACACGTTGAAAGAAAATGCATCGTAACTCACTACCTTATTCTCAAAATCCAAGCTGTCCATCAATGCAACTAAAAATTTATAGTTTTAAGTAAGGATGTTATTAAGATAATAATTAAGAAATCATTAAATATAATACATTATCTTGTCAAAAATTTATTAAAAAATATATTGTCAATTGCGTGTTAAAAGTCATAGAAAAAAATATATATATTCACACTTTTTGATAAAAAAAAAATCACTTTTAATTTCTTAATTAGTATTTCAGTTTTTAAGGACACTCCAAACATTGTTATTTACAACGATGTCATGTGTCTGTGGCTTATCCCAGTGGATGTTCCTGTAACTCTTGTTGCATTCATTTCCATGTAAGGGAATATAACTGAATTGATATGGAAAATTCACTGTCATATCTTTGCACACAAATCAGAGGAATATTTATGACATTCACAAATTGAACGCATATCATGATGAGTTTTTTAATAAATGCTGAAAAGTAAATAATAAAATAATTTTTTAAAATTATAGTATTTAATATAATACATTAAATTTGATGATATTCTATAATTTATAAGGAAAATTATTATATATAATTTTTATTATTTTAATAGATATATGTTAGAAGAAAAAAAAAAGAATAATACTTTCATTTGATTAAACCTATGCAACCAAATTACTAGCATATTTAGATTCATATCAAAATCTAATTCATTTAACCATAAATTCATTTCAACGCTGCAAATTATAACTCTTAATTTAATTTGATTTTATATGCTATTCAAACATGCACTACGTGTATATACAGCTTAGCATGGTCTTCTTTCTTGAAAACTATTGACTAATTCAAAATCAAAATAGAAGTGACATCAACAAGATAAGTATATGCAGGTACAACTTCAGACTCACATGACTTCATAGTAGCAGCTGTGTACAATAACAAGTGATTTAACATTTGCATGTCAAAATGGCACAGAGGAAAGGAACAATGGAGATAAGTCCTCAAAAGAAAATACGCATAGCTGCCACCTATTCAGTAAAATAATCTGTGAAGTTCCATCATTCAATGTGATGGATTAGACAAAAAAGAGGGAGAAAGAATCATGCATCTATGTACACAGTGCACCACGCATTTAGACCAGTTTGAAAACTGTTGCATGGTAAAACCCAATTATAGAAAGGGTCAAATCAAGTTACCAACTTTTACTGGTCCATTGTACAAAAGTATTACACCAAGCATACACAGGATTTTTGTTTCTCTTTTTGCCTCTACTTGTTAGTGTTTTGACACGATAGTTCCTGCCTTTGAATTCGATTTTTTGGATCTTTCAGACTTTTTCAGTGATTAACATTCTTTCTGTTTATGTTAATTCTCTACTAAATATTGTCCAACAGTGATTCTCAGGAACTCGACGCACCCCCAAAGCTACGACTCTTAATTATTTGTTAAAATTTATTAAAAATTACAAAAAGTAAAATAGATAATAATTATATTAAGAATGAAAAAGAATAAAAACTTACGTAATTTTTATAATTTTTAATAAATTTTAGCTGATAACTAAGAGAGTGATAAAAAGGGTGTAACTAATATTTCTCAATAATTAATAGTTACTGCTGCATCACCAAACAATTTGGATCATTGTATCAACTAGTTACTTGTGCTGGTCTTGATCACAGTGCATTAGTTTTTCAGCACATTACAAGATATGATGGTCATAGGGGTACTGAAGGATTTAAATGTAAAACAGGTACATTACATTGCATAGAGCCTGGAAGCAAAATTCATTAGGCAATGCATCTACTTGGTTCAGGAAGGAAGCCAAGTTTGAAGTGTTTAAAACCATGACAAAACCTTGTGTCAAATATGTGCATCAGTATATGTAATGCAATTATAGAAAAATGACTAGAAGTCATGAAACCAACGAAATTTAAATTTGGCGAGGCAATCCTGTATAAATTGCTTAAATGACAATGGTTTTACAATGTAATTTCAGCTCCAAGAAATTATACTATACATGTTAGTTGACAATCTCAACAAAATAATTAGATATATGGAACATAGAGTAATGCTATTTTAACTCCCAATATAGTGTCTATTCCAGACACCCTATACAACTATAGCGTAATTGCTTTTGAATTTGTATAGGGTGTCTGTTATAGACACTCAAAGTGGGTATTAAAATAGCGTTACTCATCCAACATAATATCATGACTTTAGCTGCTCATGACTTGCACATAACATTCAGACTGTTGGTCATGCACAACATGGAAAACAACATTTTACTTTTATGCATAAACTGAACCAACAAAAAATTATAATTTATTACCTTCACAAACCATTGATGTCCACCATACTGACCCGCAACTATTAGGGAATTTGACGTGATCATGTTTCTTACAAGATGAGCACATCACTAATCCTGCTGTATCATCTGTACACTCACATCAGAGTAGATAGAAAATTGTAGTCCAAAGCAGATCAATGAACTAACCTTTTGCATGCCTGGTAACCGGCAAAGTCACTCTAATTTTGCATAAAGCACCACAACTGCATAGCAAGAACAAGACAACCGGCTCTATCCAGTTCATGATGAAATAGTACAACAGTACAAGGACACCTGAATTAAAATCACCAGAATAAGAAAACCAGCTCTACTACTGTTTTGCTTGTTTACATCTTTGGATTGACCAGAAATGGAAGTTATCTCAACGAATTGCATAATTGTAAATGCCTATAACAAAATGATTTTTTTAAAACAACTTTTGGCATAAGTACTGTGCTAAGTATCTGTACAAAGTATACAACTAACTGACTAGAGTATCATAAACAACAAAAAGAAAAGATAAAGGAATGTGACAATGTCTCAACTGTGAAGAAAAGCGAAAAAGGGAAAAGAAAATATCCATTGATAATATCATATAGCGGCTGAAATGGCCAACAGACAAACCGGAGAAATTTTCATGTTTCCTTTTTTGATTTGCAACTTCTAGTCCAGTATAAACATATACTAATCTATCTATTTGTCACGATGTTTGAATTACATTTATGCTATAAGCTATACTAAGTGTTACATGGATGAGAACAGGTTTTGAAACCAAGTCAACTTCAATTCAATTCCCTACCCCACATAAGAAAGAAAAAAGAAAACAGGGGTACGGGAAGGAAGCCGAGTCTAACTAAAACAGCTCAAACTCTTCATAATCTTCTGTATCCTCTAACTCATTAGCATTCTCCTTCTGTGCAGCCAAAGATGGAGCACAACTCCCAAAATCCTGAAACTTGGGGAGCTCTGGTGGTGCCGCACATCGTATTAAAGCCCAGTTGAGGCCTTCAAAGAAAGGATGCTGTTTTATGTCAGCAGCACCTTTTACAGATCCTAATCGATTTTCAGGATCCTTTATCAACAATCCTCTGATCAAATCTCTTGCATGAAAACTGACTATTGGAGCACCTGGGAACTTGAGGCTTTGTGACACAACATTGGCTAATGTATCTTCATTTGATGGGCCCTTGAAGGGAGTCTTACCATATAAAAGCTCAAACAATAATATACCAAAAGTCCACCAATCTACGGCACTCCCATGACCCTCCCCTTTGACGATCTCTGGTGCAAGATATTCATAGGTTCCAACAAAGGAGTTAGATCGTGCACTGGTGGGCTCCACTACAAGCTGTGGGAGTGGACCAACTTGAGCAGCTATGTCAGCCTTCATCTTTCTTGACTTTGCTCCGGCAGATAATAGAATGGGAGTAAAGCAGGAAACTTGCCAATCTGGTTGGAGACAGAAAGGGTGTATGCAGCTAGCCTGTGAACAAGGACTGGACATCTTCTTTGTCACATCTGTGTCAGGTGATGATGACTTGACCAACATTGGATTGACAGAACATCTGAGTGACAGGTCAAAATCTGTCAGCATAATGTGGCCATCTTCTCGAACTAGAATATTTTCTGGCTTTAGATCTCGATATACAACTCCCAGCATGTGCAAATACTCCAGGGCAAGAAGAACCTCAGCAACATAAAACCTGAACATGTGATAGTATGACTATAGTCAAGATAATGTGTGAAAAACTTGTCCACTTGCCATTCTTTCAGATAGGAAATCACTTTAGGTAAAGAAAGAATAAGAAAACACAGCATTTACAGTTGAATAAGCATGATACCAAGTGGAAAGATCAAGCATAAGATGCTTAAATTATATAAACTAGTCCTAGTATACTTAATCTGCTTCTTGCTGAGTTGCAGGCTAAACAAGACTTTTTTGGTACATTGATCAAGACAATTTCAATCACTGCTATCTGATTCACTCCTACAAATTTCCACCTTTTCTAACAGTAAATCATACAACCAATTTGCACGTGTGCCTGTTCTTTTTACATTCCATTCATCAGCATTATCCCGCTTTCTGTCCAGAAATTTGACCTCAGGTTTTCTAATTTGGTGCATTGCATCACATGTAAAAATGATAGCTGGATACTACAAGCCAATAAATTAACAAAAGGTCCATTGGACTTCTTGAACATAGCTAATAGCTTTGGTATACGAAAAAGATTAAAAATAAAAATTTTTGAACTTGCTCAGACACTATTAAATTTCAAATTAGAAATATGGAAATTCAGGCAAGATTGAATTTCAAAATATCTTTTAAGTCTAGAAGAAGGAAGGGTGGAAAGTCCTACCTAGTTGCTTGTTCTGAAAAACTTTTATATGGTTGCCTCTGTCGCAGCACATGAAGATCTCCACCTGGACAGTATTCCATAACCAAGCAAGAGAGCTTATCTGTTGCAATATGGGAATAAAGCGTAGGAAGAAATGGATGATCCAGCATCTGAAGGATATCTCGTTCAGTTTGGGCCCTGAAAATTTTCTTCCGGCTTGCCAAAAACTCATTGTCCATCACTTTAAGAGCAAAAAGGCAGCTTGTACCAATTAGTTCTGCTAGATAAACAGTTCCAATGTCCCCGCTACCAAGCCTCCTGAGCAACTTAAAGTGCCTCAAATTTAAATTACCATGCTGCTGCTGAACTGCACGAACAGCTTCCCATCTCAAGTGTTTTGACATGTGAGGCCTGTGGCCACAGCGACTGGAACCACTTAAATTGCTTTCCCCACTGATGCTTGTGCTACTACTATACTCCCCAATGCTACTTTTTGAGCTCTGGGAGAACTCACCTTTTTCCTTCGATCTTGATTTCTCATCAACTTTTGTCACCAGAAACTTGGTTCTCTTGCTGCAATTCAAGCTGAAACCAGGTTTGCTTGAATCCGTACCAACATTAATTGAGTTAACTTCAATGCTATGATTTGAACTGGTAGGAGACTGTTTCTCATTTTCTTTTACTTCATGCTTCAAATAAGAATTGCAAGTCTCCTTGTCCAAATTACTTGTAATAGAACCCAAATCATTTTTTATACATGGTGTAGGGCAGCTTGAGGCAGAACTTATGTCTTGCTTTACTTTTTTCTTAAGGAAGTTCAAGTTATTGAATATTGGCCTTGACAAACATGTGATACTGTTTGTGGGTTTATCCACTCCATTACCATTGCTGGAGCTAGGTGGACAGGATGCAGAATGTAAATTTGCTTCCTGCCCCTCATCTGGCAGCGAAGAACCAATAGAAGCTTTGCTTGAGGAAGCAGGATCCACTCTGACCTCAGCCACTTCCTCACTTGCAGAGGCAACTGGTGACAAATTTGCAATTATGGGTTTTCTGATCCCCATGACTGGCTTGTCACTCTCAACCTCTAGTGGTTGAGGAACAATCTGATCTTGGGTAGAAAACCCAGTTGCCATTTCTTTTGCTTTTGTTGTGTCAACCAAAGGAATAATACGATTAACTCCTGCACTTGACATTGCTACATCAGGCAATTTATCAGAAGGAGTAGATATCTCTGGCACTAAGGAGATTTCAACCAAGTTCCCTTTTCCCTCATCTACCACTGCAGTGTACAACTTTTTTATGGTTCCAGCCTCTGATACTCTAGATGAACCGGGTGGCTTTGATAATCTCTTCAAAGCAGCCATTTCCGAGGCCTGTGAGATACACAACCCTCTAAGTGCTTGCTTCAAACTTACAGGCTCTGAGATGCCAATTCCTGATGCCTGAGAAGAATTTACTTTTATTGGCCTTTTAAGGGCACTCTTTTGTAAGCGTGATGTACTAAGACCTCTAGAAGTACTTTTAATGTCAATAGACTGGAAAAGACGGTTAATATCATCCTCTATTGAATACTTGTTTCCTGATTTGTGGGCACAACTACTCTCAGGTTTTTCATCCATTTTGAACTCCGAAATTATCTCTTCCCTCGATTCCACTATCTCACAAGTATTGGCAGAGATATCCATATTTGATAGATGTATTTGTAAGTTGACAATAAAACAGGCAACTTTGCTTCAGCCCAATTCTAAAGATGAGTCACAGAGAATTGCAAAGAAGTAAAAACTGCAAAGGGCATCCTTCAGGTTTGTCTTCGGTCATAGTTCTCAACAGAATTGATTGGTTAACTTGAGTCCCTTTACTGATTATAAAATGCAGCATTCGAACCTGAAATTTTAGTAATAATATTTCAGATTGGATAAGATAAGCATTGTGCATCAAATAAAGGATGTATTTTAATGCAATAGTATTTATCTACGACTTCAACATGAATATTCATTGAACATTTGGAACATGTTTTATGTAGCTACAAAGACAAGGAGAAACAAAAGACACGCATTCATACACCAAGTGGGCAGAAAAATTATAGTCGATCTTCACCTCACCCAATCACTCCTTAAACAAATTAGTAAATAGCCATCCTTGTAATTTAAAAGGCTCAACATATTTTTACTACTGAACTGTAAAAAGTGACAATTCATTTCTCCCCCCACCCGCATCTTTCTATTTATCTTCACTTTTGTCTTTGCCATTACTCATCCTTACATCTGTTCCTAACATGAGGCCAAACTCTTGGCCACCCCTAACATTCACATCCAGATGGAGAGCAACCATGGAGCCTCTTCAAGTTCACATTTTGTGTTAGAAGAAGTGAATGTAAATGAATAATACTTTTTCCTTGATTTTGTATAGAGGGGGTTGGGCACAGGTGAAAGTTGATGATTTCAGGACAAAAGAAAGGATCAAAACTTAGAATCAGTATCAGAATTAGAGTTAAAATTACCCAAAAGCTACCATGGATTTAAAGCCGGGTGGAGAGGAAGGAAGTTCAATGAAAGAAATAATTCAAAAGAGAAAATTAGAATCAGTGAAACCAAAAAACATAAATACATTTAATTAGTTTTACTCCCCATGGATCAGAATTTTTATCAAGCCTCAAAATTAAAAGGACAAGAAGAAAAAAAAAAGTTTGAGCTTTACAATCAAATTGCAAAATTATCAAACATAAAAAAACAAATTTTGCAAAATCAAACAAGCACAACCCAGCAAGCACAACAGAACCAAAAAACTGAAACTGAAAAGCAAGACAATTAAGAAATTAAAAAAGGTTGAAGTGGAACCAAAAAAAGTGATCAGGGTGAGCAAAGACAGAAAAACATTACCTGAAACAACAGGGAAAGCCCAGAAACAGCGGTGCGAAGGAGAATTCAAAGACCCCAAAACATGGAAACAAAGCAAAGAGGAAGATTCAAAAGGCTATGGCTAGGGTTTGAACTTTGAAAGAGACAGAGAGAGAAAAAAAAGGAAGTGAATGAGGAAAGAGAAAACAGAAAAGGTTGAAATGGTAATCACGAGAATGAAGAGAGGCAGAAAGAGCAGTGTCACAGTCCAAGTATTGTATTGCAATTACTACTACAACTATAGTTTCTACAGCTACACCACCTACTCTTTCTTTTTCTTTCTTTTTTTCCTCTGTAATATGTAATGGCTGAAAAAACATTTACTATGATTTATGTTATGTTGTGTGTACTGTACACAACATTAACACATGGTGTTGTGTTGCAGACACGCACATACACGACAGTGAGAGCAGGTATAGATTATATCAACATATGAAACATGAAATGTAATGAAATGTTATGTTTTGTGTGTTATGTGTTCCTAAGTGACACTGTGTTAGCCGCTGCAGCTGTAGTTGTAGCCTGTAGGGGGAGGTTTGTACACTACAACTTGAAAGGGTCCCACTTTGGTCATTTCTGATTTTCTTTTTCCCCTCACATTTGTGTTTGTAATCATAAGATTCAGAACATAAATGCCTCATCTTTTATTACTAACAAACAAATTATAAAATAATTAGGTCAATCTTGGTTATATTGTTCATAGGTTTAAATTTTGACATTGTTATTTTATTTCATTAATTATGCAGGTATTTATTAATAATATATATAATATGAATTTAAAACCTTTTTATTGATAATGAAATATAAACATTTAAAATGTTGAGTTTTGAAAAGTTTATAAAAATTCTTTTCATTAACAAATATTACTTATTGATGATTTTCATATATTTCAGTATATTAAAGTTAATGAAAGAAATTAAAGTATTAGTTAAATAATTTAAAAATAATTTTTATTGGATAACTAAATAAAGAAAATATTGGATGTGATGTGATTTGGTAAATGATGCATAGAAGGATAAAGACATTGATTCACAAATATCACAACAAACTATCGAAATAGCATAAGTTAATTTGAATAAAGCTAATGGTAAGAGACAAACAATTGGAGTAAATTTAGGTCTCAAATGTGTTAGGACATGAGTGAGGCTATCATTCTCATTTTCATAGCAAGTGATACTTCTGAATAATTAAATAAAACAATAGGTGAGCAGAAAAATTTATTAAATACCATTCACTATAATATTTAATGAAAAATACTTAATTTTATTATGCATTGGAAAGAAAATAATTTTTTTTTAAAAATTAATATCAAGAACTTGAATTTGTAGTTAGAATCGTTAGAAGTAAACCATCGAATTCTAATGTTATCATCGTAATAATTATTATCAATATCTTTTATCAAATTTACAGTAAATGATGGCAAAAGTGTAGTAGTTAGATGTGTTTATGGATGGAAGGTCTCAATGGTAATTGGAAGTGGTGGAATTCTAACAGTTTTAATAATAAATTTTGTATGAGTTACTGTATTTGGTGTTGATAGACAGTTCTAAAATGTGATTATGAAATAAAGAAAAAGAACTTGACCTATTAAGAAATTTTAAAAAACAATTAACTAATTAGAGTTATTAATTTTATTATAATTTTTCAAGAAATTCTTTTTTGGAGAATTAATTTGATTGATTAAAGATTCTTTGAAAATTATGTTGACATATCTTAATATTAAGATTCTTTAAAAATCAAATTGGTGAATTTTTTTTTTAAAAAATTATGAGATTTAATTCATGTTATACCATTACGTTATCATTAAATGCCATGTGTACAGTCGGATAACACTTGATAAATCATTAAGACACCTAAAAAATAGTCGTAAACATTCGAAGTTAATATGATATTTAATTTACTTTGTTAATTTAGGAACTATTTTGAATTGCTTTAGAAAATATGGAGATTAAAATAGCGGTTCCCTCCTAACAAGACATTAATCAATAATGAAAAATAAATTAAAAAAATGTCAAAAGCAATATTTATTATGAATATTCTTAATTTTTAAGTATATTTATTTAACTTTTATTATATTAGCTACCTGAACCTTCAATGTGGGAGTAGAAATAGGTTAGAATAATTGTCAAGAGCATATAACTTAGTCTATAGTGGGTACGCTTTGGATTAGGCTAGGTTTATTTACTAAATAAGTCAAGGCTTTTTTAAAAGTCTATTTAGTTTTTTTTTGAAAAAAAAGTTATGCATAAGGCCATCTAAAAAGCCTTCTAGGCTAAACATATTAGTGTATTCAAAGAAATACAAAAGGTAAATAATAATGATGATGATAATAATGATATTTTAATTTTATATATTTATTTTATTTAAAGACTTATGTTTTGTTGATTTATTTATAAATTTAAGTTTATTAACCTATTTAAAAGTAAGTTTTTTTTTTTTTACGCATTTAAAAGGTCTTATTATAAAATAAGGTTTTAATTAAGCTTACAAGTAAGGTCAAGCTAAAAAAAACTTAAGCCATACTTTAAAATATGACCCATATGAAATAAATAGACTAAATTTGAACCTTGACTTCAAGAATTAGATCAAGCTTAGATTTTAGAAAATATAACTCGATTCAATCCATTTTCACTCTACTCATCTGCAATTGAGAAAATTCTTTAATCACTATCATTATTCTTGATTTGAATATCTCTTAGATAGCATTTTAAAGTTTTTTTGTTTTTTATTCTTAACACGTGAGGCGTGTAAATCTTGAACAATATTAGCTTTAAAAAAATACTAAAACTTTGAGACTGAAAAGGCATGTGCATTAATTCTTGAGAGTAAGATTATAACCTTTGTACTTAGACTATTGATATCTATAATAAATAAAAATCTTAAACATTATGCTAGTTATATATATAATGTACCTAAGCTATGAGCCTTGTTATAATTATTCATTAAATGAAAATGACTCTTAGTTACTTAATTAGAAAAGAGTTTATTCTTTCTGACACGCACGCATAAAATTTTGAATTGACTCGTTAACAAATAAGGTAGTGGAAGAGATAAGGCTCTTATGAATTTGCTAGGTGAGAACGTGGCTTTTGAAGCACCTATGGGTTCTACACACAACAACATTGTTCAATATTATATCCTTTTTCGGTAGAGTATTCAATGTTATTTATATGTCACAATGCCTAATCTTTGCTGTGCAAAATGAACTTATACCAGTGAGGAGTTGAGGTAAGGAACCATGATTGTAATATTTGTGGGGAAGGAAACAATCTATTTTACAGTATTTGTTGATGATGTGGCTCTTGTTAATTTTCCAAAGAGTTTGGTCTCTAATATGGTCCCTTATATATGCTTGACCTAGTAGCTTTTCTTGTTCCAATTCTATGATGTGGTGGACCTAGGTTCCAGCTCTTGTCTCCTAGGATCTGGTGACAATTGCTGTTCTCATAATATGAAGAATTCGTAGCAACAAAAATGCATGGGTCGTTTGAAAATAGGGTGCAATTGCATGCATGAGCCTCTTCCTCTGGAGATATTATATTTAATTATCTTCAAATAATAATTTTTGCATATAATGAGTTTGGTTGAGTCTTGTATTTATTTTTATGTTGATTTTCATATGTAATGTGCTTTTAATAATTAAAATTAACTTCATAATTTAATTAACAAATGTCTAATGTAACTGAGATTATAATAATATGGATATGGACTTGTTTGATGGACCAAATTATGTAAAGTGTCACGTGGAATTGGCATTGACAATAGCTACCAAATTGATGTGTCTGCTAAGTAAGTGTTGCAATTTAATTTAGGGTTTGAAAGTTTATTAATGGAAAAGGCGAAGGGCATGTGATATAAAGGTTACAGCACACGAGAATTAAGCAAAATCTGTAGCCCTTGGTCGCCACTTGTTGCATTGTGAAAGCTTTGAACTTGACGCCATTATGCCAAAACAAGAAAAGCAAATGCTTTTACTTCAATTGTAATAATCATCCACTACCAGTAAATAAGACCACAAACATGGAAGAAACCATCATGTTCATGTACCACCCATTATACATATGATATTTTTTTTTACTTATTTTGTGAATTAGTATTGTTTATTTATTAGATTCTTAGATAATGTTGATTACAAATATTGGGTAGATCTTGGAATATTTTAATTAGGCAATTTATTCATAACTAAGGATAAAATCATAATCTTACTTTCGATGTGTCACTAAAAAATATGTTTTTCCTTATCATTGAAATCCCAATTTCCTTAGAAAATAAAGAACCAAATCATATACAAGAAATGTTAAGAGCACATTTTTAATAAATTTTTAATTATTAATCAAAACTCGTTTAAAACTATAAAATTTGTTGTGCTAAATATTTGTTATTAAACCTTTTATATGAATAATATGCGTTAACCTAATTATATCACTTAGTGTCTATTTAGAAATTCTTGAATATCTCACCTATCAAGTGGAGAGGGCAGCTCAGTCTTACGTCTTATGATGTCAATTCTCTGGAAAAAGAGAAAAAGAAAAGTTTAAAAGAAAAAGAAATTAAAAAAAAAACTTCAAAAATATAAGTTTATGGAAATCTTAAAAAGTTTATAAAGATTCATCTTTAATTTAAAAATTTTCAAATAAGTATTACTATTAAACAAATTTTCTCTTAAATTTAACTCTCAAACATATAGACAAACTCTAAATTCTTCCTCTTAGTTGGTACATCATAATTTTGAGTTTTTGACGAGTTTGAATCTAAATTTATTGTTAGAAAAGTTCTCACTATAATTATAGAAAATTTGAATAAATAAATCACATACCAATTATAATGAATGGAGCATAGATAGTATAGAGCTGGTCACATAAAGCATTCTATAACAACTCATCAACGATAACACAAGTTATATGATGGAGTAACAAATGAGCTACCTTTCAAACTGTGACAGGTATAGAATTTGGAACTCTCACTTCTCAGTACATATTTGGAGGGGACCAAATAGTCTCAATCATCTTCTTTCTTTCATTTCAAGACTAAGCCCTCCAAACAGACAGGACCATATGCCAACCTATCATCTCAATCAAATACATAAAATGTTACTTAAATTTTTCTTTTAGAATCTTAGTACATGATCATGCTTTGCACTTTAATTGCCATAGTCAACATTTTTGCCTCCCAATTATAATATGCAACTGCTCATAACTCACTAAAGTTCCAGTATTTGAAAAAAAAAGTTGTATATATACTGTTGTAATTTCCAAAAAAGATGAAAACGTTAACAACCCCTTTTCCATTAAACATAAAATATGGCTTAGTGGTGTCTTCAAAATATGAATCACACTATGGATAAATTTCTAAATATATAATCATACGAAAAAATAAATAATTTTTATAATAAAAATTAATTCATGCACTTCAAATTTTAGAGAAACTAAATAAAAGATGTTGTTTAAAAAAGCAAACAAAATTAAAATAATTTTAACTTATTATACGAACAATTATTTACTTACTTT